ATAGGGTATGTCAAAATCACCAAAATTTTAACTTTTTTATTTTATTTTTTCTTGATAAAAAAATCTTCCGGGTTGACACGCCAGTCAACCTGTAACTTGACACGATACTAATTCACATCATTTATCCAAATGTTCAAACGACCCATTTTGTTTCACAGGTCGACACAGCCTGTATTTTGATGTCATGCCACAGGTCATCCTGCAGGTCATGAAACATTTTGCAACTGCTATCTAATTCAAACGCGCACTAAATGAGAGGAGCATGATGTAGGTATGAATGTTTTTATTATAAATTAAGTATAATTTTTTTTTTATAAGAAAATAATTCAAGATAAGAATAAAATAATATTATATTATATATATATTTTATTTTTGATGACAAAGAAATAAAACTATAAAAATTAAAATCAGAGATCTGAATTATGATAAATAAAATTGTGTAATGGAATAACAGATATTTGAAATATGAATGTTAGGTCATAGGTGACTCTTATTTCGTTTTCACTTCACAACGACATAATATTACTGCTAATTTGCTTGACCCACTGATTGCTTTATATATATGACTCTCTCAATAAATATGGTGAATATAATGAATTTAGTATTGATGAAAATAAAGTCATTAGGAATTAGGATTGGTCTAATGATGAGAGATTTTAGTACATTATATTAGGTTATATATTCAATTTTCACTTGTATTTGAAAAAAAGTATTGATGAACATAGTGTACATTTAAATTTTAGTTAACGTTGCACCATAAGTACGTGGATAAAGGGTTGTTGCAGCCACTTCATTGAGTTAAGATCAATAAAAATTTAGGTCATGTCAAATACAAAATTTTATACATAAACTTAACTACAGTTATTTAGTCATGTTTAAAATATGGTTAATTTTTAAAAATCAACTGGGGGCTTGGCTGGACATAACGTGACTCCGCTACTGATTTTAGTTTAATTAGTGATCTCGAGTTTGATTCTCCAAAAATGAAATTGTGTTACAACTTCGTAGGGAGCTTATGTGATCCTGTTCGCCTTGAATTGAACGAGTCAAATAATTAATGAATTGATGAATAATATTAAAAAAATTGATGAATGTCCCATGTAATAAGTGAAATAATATAATAGTATCTCATATAAGTGAAAAAATACTGTAACACAATATCATATAACTGGAAAAACAAGTCAAAATGTATTGTAAATTGTTTGATTAATGTTACAATTTTCTACTTCTTCTTATTATTTTTATTATTTTTTTGCACGAAGAGGGACTAAAGCTTAATTTATTTATATTCCTTGATTTTATTATAATTTTTTTGGTTGAATTTCTAATGGAGAAATAATCATGGAGAACAACTATATTACCATGAAATAAACTAACAAAAAAAAAGATTATGAGTTAATTGAATGCTAACTCCTTAATTAATCATATCAAATCTAAAAAAGAAAGAGAAGAAAAACAAATAAAAAAAACATATTTTTATTACCAAATTGTGATGATAAAAAAGAGAGAGAAAACAAATCAAAAGCATATTTTATGTTTGCAAAAAATAAAAAAGCGCAATACCAAAAAAAAAAGGCATATTTTTATTGGGTTTTATATATGTGATGTTCTAGGATGTTTTTTTTTGGTAATTTAGTTTTGTTCTAGGATGTTTTTTGTTTTTTTTTTTTTTTTTGTAAATGTAAAGTTTAAGTGGGGTTAGACACCGGTATCCCACTAGGGTCAGGGAAGACCCCAACCTCTTTGAGAATTTCTGGGAGGGATTACATATCACCCACCAACAAAGTCCTCACATCGACTAGCGGGATTTGAACCCACGCCCTTGAGGGCTATGGACCAAATCCTTAGCCAACTGTGCCCACCTTTGTTGGATGTTTTTAGTGACTTGTGAATTGTGACTCATGTTACTCTTACGAAAAAGATGGTTTCACCTTTTTTTTTTTTTATCCTTATGAGCAGGACCCAAATCAAATATATTAGAGTAAGATGACATTAAAAGTATCCTGAAATATGACATATATAAAACTCATTTTTATTATCAAATTGTGATGCGTTGAAAACGAGAATATAGGTAATTCAGAGAGGGAGTGACACAATATGGAACTGGACTCGTGGCACAGATTTATTCGTCATGCAGCATTAGCATAGCTTCGTACGCGACTTGCAGAATTCGAAATGCAAACGGATCGCGGCCTGGAACGTACTATTTGGTACGCATCGCTTTCAGAAAATGTTTTTTTTTTCTTTTTTTTTTTTTTTTTTTTTGATAACATTATTTTTCTTTTTTTTTACAACCAGAAAATGTTTTTAAATCACACCACTTGGCACACGCCACGTCACTTACATGAACCATCACTTTTTTGAAAGATACAATTTTATGTTATTTAAAAAAAAAAATCGTGTTTTACAGGATATTTGTCATGCTATTAAATTCTCTATCATCTACAAAATTAGCAGGAGAGTACTCCAGAGGAAAAAGAATGTAAAAATCCAACAAAATATGCATCAAAACAACACATCATGGTTTCACTTAAGATGATATAAAATTGTGTATTTTAAGATGACAAGTAATTTTTCCTATATTTGGATACATTTTCATCAGATTCCTATATGCTTATATTTTTTTCTCATCTATTTATTTATTGCAATTTAAATTTAAATAAATTTCAAATCTATTTAATATTAAGTAAAAAATAAATTTATTTTTTTCAAATGTATTTAATTTTTAAATGCTAATTCATTTTTTATTATCTTATTATTTATGGGTAATATTTCTCTCAAATTGTATAAGATGAAAAAAAATTTCTCCACTCACACAGTCACATCGGTAATTAATTGCTGCTTTTTTTTCTTTCTCTCTCCTAGTGGGTCTCGCAATTGATTGAATGTGTTGGAAATTTTTTCTCTCATATGCAACTTGAGAGAAATATTACCCTTTATTTATTATTTATTATATATTTGTATTTCAATAAATATCAAATCCATTTGAAATTGATAAAAAAAGTAAAACTAATTTTATCATATTTAGATTTATTTCCTATGTAATTTTCAAATCTTAATTTTTTTCTTATCTTCTTTATTTATTATGTACTTATATTTGAACAGATTTTATCACTTGGAGATGGACTAAAAATCAAACATATATTTTATCCATATTTTAAGGATTATATACTTAATATATTATGAGTAAATATTTTTTTCGTTCTCAAGAAAAAACTCGGGATCCAAATTAATCCATGAGAAAAAAAGTCAATATATGGTCCCTCTGAAATTTTAGTTCTTTGAAATTGTGATTCCTCTAAAATTTAAAGAAGATTCACGTTAGTTTCTCAAAAAGAACTAATATGTATATTTTTTTATAGGATTAAAAAAGATTTCGTATTTTTTTTTAGAATAAAAAAAATATGTACTCATATATTATTTATACGATATATTTTAAACAATCTTTTATTATCTAATCAAATCTTATGACTTGATATGATTTATAACTTGAAAATTAATTAACAATTTGTATCGCGATTGATTTGACTGGATTGATATTCTTGATATTCGTAATATGGTTATTAGGAGTCTGTGTCTCAATGAATTCTAATTTCACAGTCCAATTAATCGTACTATATATAGTAACGCACACTCACCTTCTAATCCGCAAAGACCCTTTTCTTTTCCATTCCATCTTCTTCACCCTTGGCCTCCAAGTAACCTTAACCATTCTTTCACCTCTAAAGGTAACTGTGTTGTTCGGTTCCCTCCCTTATACTCTTCAGCTGCTCTACACTTAGACCATCCTCATCTTTCTTGTGATAAACACGTCTGCATCAAATAGGTTCCTTTTGCTTTTAAACTTTTCCAGTTTTAGATTTTTTTTCTTCGTCTCTGTTGAAGTTTGTTTAGGAAGAGGAGTTTTTTTTTTTTTCTTTCTTTCTTCTTTTCTGCTTTCGCGCGTACTATTTAAGTTGTTTTGTGCATTATTTTTCTTGTATGGTATTTGTTTGTCGTTTTTCTTCTGGGTTTGTTCTGCTATGCGTTTGTGTTCTCTACCATATGAATAAAAATTGTTTCTTTAGCTCACCAAGAAAAAAAAAATTGTTTCTTTAAGTATTTTTTCTTATTTTTTATTGAAAAAATACTTTTCTTACAACCAGAGAAAAAAAAATACAGGTATTTTAGTAATTTTTCATTCCTTTTGTATTACAAATTTTATTAAGTGGCCAATCTTAACACTTCTATATGATGTTATGCCATTGAAGATTGGAAATATATATATATTTTTTTAATGTCACTTTTATCCGATATTATTATTATTATTATCACTATTATTAATTGTTTTATGTTTAATATTATTAGACTTTGTATTTACTTTGATTAATGTTTTCTTAACTTTGAAAAATATTTCTGGTTGCTGGAATTTCTTTATATTTATTAATGTATTTTATTTTCAGTTTTTAAAATCCATACACTTCATTAAGACAATACTGTTTTCTTTTTTCTTTTTTCTTTTTTTCCTAAGTGCTCTGTTTCAATATTTGTAATTCTTTTAATTAATTTTTTATTCAAATTTCTTGAAATTCATGGCACTATAACCGAATACTGCTTTCTACGGTGATTTTAATCTTCAGCAACCAACTCAAATGTTGTGATAACATATTCCAATACACGTCTTATTATTGCTAGTTTAGCATCCTCAATTGAATTAAAATATATACCACTACTTACACATTTTGACAGGTTTTTCTCTTTTATTTAATTAATTCATTAACATTTCATTTGGGAAGATGCTTTATGGAGTATATGTTGCCTTGGATGTGCAAATAGTTAATACATGCATCCATACTTCTGTTTGAAACAGGGTAGCCTTGTAATCCATTAAGTATATGCAATCCATTAAGTGTTTCTATATTCTTTTGGTATAGCTAATTAGCATTTAACTCTTCATGTGTGAATCACAAGCACTCTTAAATTTTTAATCTTAAATCTTATTTTTTAGCAGGGTTTAAGAAATGGATTTTTCAACTTGCAATGAATCTGCTGAACTTGAACTCCTGCCACCTCCACCACAAACCATTCATCCCAATATTGTTCCTGTGAAAGCAGGATTGGGAAAAGCATACGAGCCTTTGAAGAAGATAAATAATACAAATCGTTTGCCAATGGCCAGGAAAGATATTGGATCAAAGGGACAGAAGATACAACTCTTGGCAAACCATTTTAGAGTTGGCATGCGCAAGAAAGATGGTTTCTTCTACCAATATAGTGTATTTCCTTCTCTTTCTCATCATATCACTTGTGTTATTATATGTGTGCATGTGAAACATCCATCCATATTTACCATCATAAATGATTAAAGTATTGTTGGTTAGGTTGCAATGTTTTATGAAGATGGGAACCCGGTTGAAGTGAAGGGTATTGGTAGAAAGGTCATGGATAAACTTTGTGCAACCTATGATGAATTACAAAATAATGATTTTGCATATGATGGGGAGAAAAGCTTGTTCACTGTTGGTTCTCTACCAGATAAGAAGCTGAAATTCCTTGTTGTGTTAGAAGAAATTTCATCAAAGAGGTAAATATGCAATGCTATGCATGAGTGTGTTTGTACTTTCTAGTATTTGTCTCAAGCACTAACTTGGAGCACATATTGTTTTTCAGGATTGGAGAGAATGGAGGCCCTCACGGCCCTAATGAAGGAGACACTAAGAGAATGAGGCGCCAATCGCGGTCCAAAACCTTCAAAGTTGAGATTAATTATGCAGCCAAAATCCCAATGCAAGCAATTGTTAATGCATTACGAGGTCAGGATTCTGATAACTTCCAGGAAGCATTGAGGGTTCTGGACATTATACTGAGGCAGCATGCAGCAAAGCGGTAAGTCAAATAAAAAACAAATTTAATTCTTTTGTTTTCATTGCTTGAAATAATGTTTACTGTGAGAGCTTAAGCTGGATGGGTGTGGAAGATCAGTTTCTAGAACATTTGGTCAAAAAGGATTTTATAACATGTCATCAACCAATTCTCTAAAAAAAGCTTAAATTGTTAGGTATTGGGATATGAATGTTTCATATCACATCTCTAATATTTACCTTGACTGTTTTCTTTACAGGGGTTGTCTTCTTGTTCGCCAGTCCTTCTTTCATGACAATCCAAGGAATTATTCTGACCTCGGAGGTGGTGTTCTAGGTTGCCGTGGCTTCCATTCAAGCTTCCGAGCCACTCAAGGGGGTTTATCTCTGAATATAGGTAAGATTCTTAACACTTAAAAGTGAAAAGCTTGGAAATTTATGCTGTCCCTTTGTTATGATTAATAGTTTGTTATTCTCTCTTTAAAGATGTGTCAACTACAATGATTCTACAGCCTGGTCCTGTACTGGACTTCCTTTGCCTGAATCAGAATGTTAAGCATCCTAACTCAATTGATTGGATCAAGGTAATATTTGTATCCTATCTAGTAGTGTAATGGTTTCATGTTTTTGAACTGCGGTTGTTTGATTTATGATTATTATCAGGCAAAAAGAATGCTGAAGAACCTCAGAATCAAGGCTAATAATATTGAGTACAAAATCACTGGACTGAGTGATCAACCCTGCAGGAGCCAGACGTAAGTGTTCTTGTGCTTTTTCTAACTGACTGTGTAAGACTTGTAAGAGATAATTTTAGTTGAATGTATCATTGTTAGAATAACCAAGGTGAGATGATAAGGTTCGTTCCTTGTAAAAGTTCTCATTTTGTACTATTAGAATATCCCCTATACAAATATGATCAGGCTCATTTGTTTCTTACAGATTTTTACTAAAACATGGAAAGGATGCTAATGGAGAAGTGCTGTCAAGTGAAATCACAGTTTATGATTACTTCAAGCACCATAAAAAGATTGAATTGCGCTGTTCTAATATGCCATGCATCAATGTTGGCAAACCAAAGCGCCCGGCTTATTTTCCAGTGGAGGTGCTAAAAAAAAATATCCAGAGATTTAAAGCTCTTTACTCTATTGTTAAACATTATAATAAATTGTTCTTGCTTTGCAGCTATGCACCTTGGTCCCATTGCAGCGGTACACCAAGGCTCTGACAAATTTGCAAAGGGCTCAGCTTGTGGAGAAGTCAAGGCAAAGGCCTAATGAAAGGAAAGCATCTTTGGAAGATGTATGTAGTGACTTTAAATATGTTTTGATTAATTCAGTTCACTTTAAAATATGTATGTAGTTTTAAATGGTTTTTAAACATTCTTGCAGTCGTTAAGAAACAGCAGATATGGTAATGAGCCTATGCTTCTGTCTTCTGGAATTACCATTGAACCTATGTTGAACAAAATTGAAGGCCGTGTTCTGCCAGCCCCAAGTGTATGTGTCATTGTGATCAGCTTCTTACCCCTGCTTTAATTTCAATTCTTGTTTTCAAGGCACTTCTGACTTGCTTTCTTATGCCAATACGCTTTTGCAGCTTGTAGTTGGAAGAGGAGAGAACTTTATTCCCCGTGGTGGGCGCTGGAACTTCAACCATAAGGTTGACCTTTGTTGTTTTTTTTTTTAATGTTGCTGTTGAAACAAATTTAGAGTTGTTTTTTTCTAACAATGAGAGCATCATCTTTCAGAAACTAATTGAGCCTGTGAAGATTGAGCATTGGGCCATTGTAAACTTCTCAACTCGGTGTGATATAGTATACCTGTGTAACACCCTTAAGAAATGTGCTGACATGAAAGGGATTGTAAGTTTTTCCAAGATTTGTGTGGCTAGTTTACATCATTGATGTTCTGAAAACTACATTTATTTTACACTATGGCTTCTTTTGTAGCACTTAAATGCTCCGAACAAAGTATTTGATGAGGATCAGAGCTACAAACGTGAGCCAGCCAATGTAAGGGTTGAAAAATTGTATACATACGTAAAGTCCATGCTGCCTGGGTTCCCTCAACTTCTGTTGTGTATTCTTCCAGAGAGAAAGAATTCTGAGCTTTATGGTAGGATCAACAAGCTTCAATTAAATAATTCTCTTGTTCGTTATTTTTCTACATTGTTCAATTAGCAATTATATAGTTTGACTCTGATCAACTCATTATAAAATCCTAATATCTATGATATGTAGGTCCTTGGAAAAGGAGAAGTCTTGCTGATGAAGGGGTTGCAACACAATGTATTGCACCAGTAAAGATTAATGATCAGTACATTACTAATGTTCTCTTGAAAATAAATGCAAAGGTATACGACATTAAAATTAGAAAGAAAAAAAAAAAAAAAACTTGTGGCAGTCCCTTGTGTAAACTGGGATTGGAGACATGTATTCTCTGTATGCCTGTGTTTCATTCTCGTTTAATTGCTTTCATGCAGCTTGGTGGGATTAATTCCAAATTGTCAATAGAGAATTCACGTTCCATACCTTTTGTTTCTAATGTACCTACCTTAATTCTTGGTATGGATGTTTCACATGGTTCGCCTGGTCGATCAGATGTGCCATCTATTGCTGCGGTATGGTATTTATGCTTTCAGCATCCTCTTACTAGAAGTTTTCCTTTGTCTCAAGCAGTAGCATAAAACCACAATATTTGTTTACATTTTAAATAAGTTTATATGTTAAATATTCAGGTTGTCAGCTCAAGATGTTGGCCTGAAATTTCACGTTATAGAGCAGCAGTTCGCACTCAATCATCCAAAGTTGAGATGATTGCATCTCTATTTAAGCCTGTTTCTGATACTGAGGATGAGGGTATCATAAGGTGCTTATTCTCTAATGGTGTTATACTGTTATATGCCAGTTAATTATTCTCTAGGCAGTTTATAACTCTGCAATCATTGATGCGTTTGCTTCCATCTTTTCAATCATTTAATAATCTATTTTGTTGGTTCTCTTTGCAGGGAGCTGATTAAGGACTTCAAAAATACTTCAGGACATAAGCCTCAACAAATTATAATTTTCAGGTATATTTATATTAAATGCTAATAATTTGGATTTTGGCTAAGAAAGGCATCTTTTGACATGTATTATTTGTAAATGGACGACTAATGCTTTGTATAAGTTAAGTACGAGGTAAACACCATGTAAACTGATTTAAACAATAATTCGTATATAATCTGTTCTTTTCTAGTTATCAATGCTCTTGTCTCTGACTTATTCATTTTTACACATCATCCACTACTAGTTCATTCTTCATGCTTAGGCATGCTTACAACACCTTTAGTTTGATAACATTTTGTGTGTGAACTACTGATCTGAGAACTGATTAAACTAGTTGCAGAGTTGGCATGATTTTGCCTCATGTAACATTCTTGTTCTGTTAATGTTACAAAGTGAATGTTGTAAAATAGAAAATGCACATTGAATTGCTTGTGTTGTATATAAATTTGGTGTAAGTTTCTGGTCCTAATTATGGTGCCATGTGTTTTATTATAGGGATGGAGTGAGTGAATCACAGTTCAACCAGGTCCTGAACATCGAGTTGAATGATATCATTAAGGTACCATTGTACATTTAAAATATTATTGTACTACTTCATGAGTGAAATAATTGAATTTTATTGAAAATCCTTTAAGGCATGCAATCATCTTGATGAACGGTGGTGTCCAAAATTCACTGTGATTGTTGCCCAGAAGAATCATCACACTAAGTTCTTCCTGCCCAGTGGTGCAGAGAATGTTCCACCTGGTTTGTCACCTTTAATAGAAAAAAATTATTTAACAAAAATAGTACCTCGTGATTTGTTGTTCTAATCCACTACTTGTTGTGTAGGCACTGTTATTGACAACAGTATCTGCCATCCCAAAAACAACGACTTTTACATGTGTGCACAAGCTGGGATCATGGTAGTTAAAATCTCAATTTATCACTACGATTATATGTTTTTATGATTTTTATTTTTTTACGTTACGATTTTATGTTTTACAATTTTTTATCTCTCTTTCGATTTTATGTAAAATCTCGATTTTAACTACGTTAGCTGGGATGATTGGAAGTATCCTTGTCAAAATAGAATTTCAGCTTGTTTTAGTGTCAGCCATTTTTATGGCGTAATATTGGCCAAACAATAATTTAATAATTGACAAAACTAGTACCAGTCTCCTACCCAAAATAACACTTACAAATATTATCTTTCCAAACTCAATAATTTCTAATAAGGACTGTAAAAGAATTTCAGTTTCCAGTTGGTTAAGTTCATATAAATATTTCTAAGATTATATCCACCTCCTTAATGCCTGAAATTTTTGACTTTGACAATTGCTTTCCTTTTGTTCAAACAGGGGACAACTAGACCTACCCATTACCATGTTTTGCATGATGAGATCGGGTTCTCCGCAGATGCTGTGCAAGAACTAGTGCATCAGCTATCTTATGTGTAAGTATATATGGCCAACTTGGTTTTTGTACATAGAAAACATCTTGTCTTACAAATTTACACATGTTAAGAATCCCACGATGTAGAACATCCCAGAGTATTTTGATAAAACTCAATATCATATAATAGTCAAGAGCGTTTCAAATGTTTATACTGATAACTTATTTATAAATTTAACATAACCAAACATTCTAATAAGTTGTTGTTATTTTAAAAATAAAATAATTTCTTAAATAATAAATAATTTTAAATCGTAAACCCCAATTACAAAATTAAAAAAAAAAACTAATAACTCAATCCCTTTGAATGTTAGACTAATGGTTTGTTTTTTAATTTTTACAGTTATCAAAGGAGCACAACTGCCATATCATTAGGTAAGAATTTCGACTACCTTCAACATATTTCTTTCCCAGAATATGCTTTCTTCATTATTAAACTTATTATACTTATACATCATTGAACTTTGTTTTCCCTAAACTAGTGCATAATAGACTCTACATCATTGCTTTGCTATATTCAAACAATTTTTTTTTAGTTTTAAGGTTCAAAATGATTGACTGAGGTTTACTCTTTGTATTATTTCAGTTGCCCCCATTTGCTATGCCCACTTGGCAGCTGCCCAGATGGCACAATTCATGAAGTTTGATGAACTGTCTGAGACTTCATCCAGCCACGGTGGATTGACATCTGTTGGAGTCCCTCTAGTTCCTCAGTTGCCCCGTCTTCACGAAGAAGTCACCAACTCCATGTTCTTTTGTTAACATTTTACTTATGAGTTGAATGCTACCACAAGGAACATTTTTTTTTTTGGTATATATTACCACTAGGAACTTACTATACTAGGAAGCAGTAATTTTGAGAACAAGAATTTTAAACTTTGTTGGCTGTATTACTTTTTATATTAAACTCACTATGTTATGTTTAATTTACTTCATTTCAATATCTTGTTCTATAAGTGGGCAATCTTAACAATTCTATATGATGTTATGCTATTGAAGATTGGAATCTAAAATAAAAGAGAAGAGAAAGGAAAAGAAAAAAGAAAGAGAATGGGAAGAAGAAAGGAAGAAGAGACATTACCTTCTCACAAATTTTACTTTGGATAAAAAGTTAGCACAACCTTCCCTTTGTCTTAAAAAATTTCAAACCATGGCATTAAATATCTCTATTTAACTTCAAATCATGAGAAGAGTTGATGACAGGTTTGTGTGTGTGTGTGTTAATTTTGAACGTTGAACTATGACACGTTGGCTTGGAAATAATTTTAGAAGTTATTAACGATCTTTTGCAAGAAAAGCACCCTTCCAAAATGAACTCACTATCAAGACTCGGACAATTCTATGGACTTTAAGATTGACGCTAGAATAATCAATGAATCATTTTAATAATTATAATTAGTTTATTTAGGATAGGTTATTCTATCTATTTTTTTTTGTGCCTATCTTACCTATCATTCTTCAATATCGTTAGATTAGAATCTCAAGTAACTTTTATCATTTCCCTCTTCTCTTGAGATTCTTATCTAACGATGTTGGAGATTGGTGGACGTGAAAAAGAGTTAGATAGAATAATTTATCCCACTTTATTTAAAATTATATTTTTTTAAATTTAATATTTTAAAATAGGAATTAATGCATATATAAGTTAGAAGAAAAAAATAATTTAGAACTCGACATTATATGAACTTACAATATCCAAATCATTTTCTATCTTTATCCAGCTCTCTTATTATATCTGTCATTATCTTATCTTATGCACCAAAGCATGCATTTAAAAACTTTATATATATATATATAGATGCAAATTGAGAAGGCCCCTACCGAGTAAAAGAAAAACTCGACAAGGGAGCCTACATGTAACGCTCTGTATAATAGCTATAACCTAATTAATTAGCAAATTGCATCTAATTAAATAATTAAGCATGTTTTAGTAAGTAAAATTAAGTACAAGGCTTAATTAAATGAATCTGAGTCACTTTGGAGTTAAAAAGTGTACTTAGTGAAAATTAAGGGGTATAAATGGGTACTGGCAAAAGTGCCCAAAATATAAAAAAAAAAATTATAAATATTCCTAGAATAATATTTCAGACTTTTGGGTAAAGTTTGGTAATTAATGGAGTTGAATAGATAGAAGAATCAATACCCGCTTAAAGTCACTTAACCTATGTTAAGTGACTAAGACACCAAAAAGAACCCAATTCCCTCCCCAAACCCGTCGACGCCAGAAAGAAGAAGAAGAAGCAGGAGAAGAAGAAGAAGAGGGAAAAGAGAGAGAGAAACCCTAGGGAGAGCAATCCTCCACCGATTGGAGTGATTCAAAAGCCTAAACCACTCTAAATCTTCCCTTCATCACTAATCCTAGCTTGGTTCTTCGTGGGGAGTGTTGTGTTGTGAGATATCATCCCCCAAAATTTCGACCCATTGATGATTGGGTGTCATGGAGGAGTCCATTGCTTGAAGTGATGCTTGGAACCTCTTCCTTGGGTGTTTTCTAGGTAAGTTCATGTCTTGATGCAATTCCTTCCATGAGTTTTATGGTGATGGCTATGTTAGGGTTTCATTGAGGAAGATGTATGCATGGTGGCGTAACTTAGAGCTTGATTGAAGTTAAGTTCCTTTGTAAATGTTGCTAGTGATGATAAATAAACAGTAGAAATGCGTTTAGATGGTCATTTAGTTGTTGTTCCATGTATTAGAAAATTTATGCTTGAAGTATTGATTTTCTAGTAGTGTAAGACATGGTTTGGTTGGTTGGGTATTGATTGTGCCTTGTTGTGTTAGGATTGAGGCATTTCGACCAACCTTGAGAGACCAACCATTGGAGCAAGCTATGGAGCTTGATTAGCTCCATTGGATAGGTAAGTTCATGCTTATGTTTGGTATGAATTGTATAGCTTGGTTGATAAGCTATGAGATGTTATTGGATGTAATATGCGTTAATTGCATTAAACCTTGTGTAGGTTTTGTTTGAGAAGTGGAGTATTGTAATTGACTGACTGTGGAACCTGTTGGTGGTGAACAAAGGTTGACTGAAGCATTGAGGTAAGCCTTCGGACCTTGGGTGTAATTCCCTTGATTGTTCCACCAAGCCCTGAAAGGGTAGTGGTGATTATAGTGTATATAAATGCAATAAAATAGAGTAATGCTTTGTTATACGTATGTGTATGCATTTGGTGTGGCATAGGATGGTGTTTCCCTATGTTGGTATGTTGCATGACGATGCGTAAATCATACTTGGTAGTTAGCTGGCCAGTAGGACTATTTGCATCTGAGTTTCCTTAGGACAGCTTGAGAGCTCGAGGGATTTCTCCTGGAGATGTTATTGCACTTTGAATAGATATGTATTTACTGCATTATTATTGTTATTGCTATTACACTGATATGGAACTGTGGGGTGGAGAGATGCTCCAATGACCCCTGGTTTACTGGATATATTCGTATATCTCACCCCGTGTTGTGGGGACCCCTTTCAGGTAAGGATGCTGCAGGAGCCACCAGTGGCAAGTGGTCATATCTGGATTAGCACATGCATGAAGTGTTGCATTTTTGAGATTATACATGTTGTTTTGTAGCTCACATGTATAGAATTGTAATTAATAGGCAATGATAGATTTATGATTTGTATATTGGAATGGACTTAGCCTATGCTCATGCCTTTGGTCATCTCTTTTGTTGATGGGAGCCAAGGGAATGATCATAGTGTTTTGTAAGCTAAGTTCCATGATTTGTAATGAATATGTACTGTAAATGATGCCTACTTGAAATTCAATATATGCATGCTTTTATGTATTGAGTTATTGAATTGGTTGGGCTGAGAAATCATATTAGGTACCTAGTTCTAAATTGGGAATTGTTGAGAAAACAAGGGTTATGCTGTCCAAATTTTAGTACAAGCCATGAGGAAAAGGGCATGCATGTCCCTTTAGATGCGTTTGTATTATGCAAGAACTAAGAACCATTTATGGAGAGGAATTTATATGATAGATTTGGACCGTGGTGCATGTATGGAAGTTGTAGATATTTTTCTTAGCTTTCCATAGAGACCAATATTGTGTGAATTGGACAAGTACAACTCTAGTTAGAGGTAAAATACTAAGAATTGGTGAAACCTTCAGAGCTTTGGCGCACCTGGCGCCAAACTTGGCGCACCGTGCGCCATAGTGCTTGGAAGCTTCTGTTTCGTAGCGCAAATCGCGCCGGCGTTGGCGCAAATCACGCCGGGATCACCTGCTGGCGAACCTGGCGCCAACCTTGGCGCCTCCAGCGCAATAGCGATCGGGAGCTTCTGTTTCGTTGGCGCCTGCCGCGCCACAGCTGGCGCCAGTCGCGCCGGGATCAGCAGGATTCGCGCAAGCGTTTCGTAGAAAACCCATAACTTGGGCTACAGTGCTCCGATTTGAGCGCGGCTTAAACCCACGCGTAGCTAACGAAGAGATCTACAATATAGTAGAAGTTGTGAAATAAATAAGAAGTAAATTAATGGTTTAAAAATGGAATAAGAACATGATGTTAAGCTTGGTTTATCTGATTCCGCAAGGTAATATGGTTATGATCACGCGATTGGATATTTTAAATTCGGCGTCATTTTAAATAGAAAAATTTATCCGGATTTTTAATTGAGCCAATGTGATTGTAACTGCGCTTAATATCATAATGTGATGTTAACAAACCGTTTCTAGAACGAGGCGTTACATTTTATGGTATCAGAGCAGTTTCGTCGGGAATAACTGTTAGCTATTGTTGAGTATGCTTAGTGTTTGATGCTTTATAGTTGTTTTAGTACTCTTGATGATTATTGCATTTGTGATCACTAAGTGTAGGCCTGATCAACTCACTTCTTTGTGTAACATGTGTAGTGACATGACGAGGCACCGAAACAACCCCGGACCATCAAACACCAATGCTCAGCAAGAACCTGTTTTGGCTGCTCTTGTGAGGCCCAGAAGTGGCCGTGGGGCAACGAGCGTACACCCTGATCCCGTGGCTGAAGCTCTTGCAGCCGTTCAGAGGGAGTTGGCTGCTAGCAGGCAAGCCAATAAAAATTTGTTAAAGACAAATGAAGACTCGCGGACTGCTATGGTCGCGATGATGACCGAGTTGAGGACGTTGAGGGGTCCTAGGCCCGTGAACCGGCAACCCACTCCTCCTCCTCACACTGCTACGCCTTCTCCACCTCCTTCACAAGAAGAGGGTGTAGCGGGTAACAATGAAGGTGAGGGTAGTCACCATTCTGGAAGTCGTAGTCATCACACCGAGGTTCGTCAACCTCGAGTTGAGAATGTCGGTGACCATGAAGTGGAGGATAGAAGATTGATGGCTTTCCGAAAACACAAACCTCCTTCTTTTAAGGGAGGTTATGAGCCAATGGCGGCTGCAAAATGGCTCCAAGCTATGGAGACGATATTCAGGGTGATGAGATGCCCTGATGCAATGAAGTTGGCATAATCTGTTTATATGCTGGAAGAGGAAGCGGAAGATTGGTGGACCAATACCGTGCAGCCATTAGAAGCTGAAGGCCGGGAGATCACATGGCGGTTGTTCGAGACGTCGTTCTTGGACAACTACTTCCCTAGGGAGGCTAGGGAACAAAAGCAGAATGAGTATAACGATCTCAAGCAAGGGTCGATGTCTATTGACCAATATTTCAGTAAGTTCAATGAGTTGGTGAAATACGCCAACTATGGGCGAGCCCTACCCACTCCGGATGAAATGACCTCCAAGTTCTAATGGGGTCTTAATGAGAAGATATCTCGGAAGATGTCAAATTGTGACATCCGAGAGTTCAGTCGGTTTGTAAATCAGTGCAGGAAGGTAGAAGAAGTG